CAGTGACTCTACTCAGCCTCATCTTTTGCAGGACTGTTTCTAGTCTGAAAGCAGGTATTGAGTGACTCTTGGCTTGGGTTAAAAGGGCCTTTGAAAGTCCCCTCGCCTGTCATGTGATAACCTAGCTTCTGGGGCCTCCGTATCTTCCTCCAGCCAAGGCCTGCAGAGGCCAGCATTGTGACTTGGGAGGGAAGGCTGGGCAGGCACGCCTCTGTCCCAAATGGTTTGTCCTGCTGCAGTAAGACCTGCCCAGAAATCTGATGCCTAAACCAGACTTCAGTACCTGGAGGGCCAAACCTGGAGGCCCCATTCACAGTGGTCTGTGAGTCATCTCTCTCCCAAGCAGATGGGAAGCAGGTGTCCCCTCTGCATCTTTCTCTTAAGTGGTAGAGTAAGTTCTAAGGCTTATAAATTTCAGTGGAAAAGTAAACATCCTTCCTTTAGAAAAAAAAATTAAAAACGAGGAGATGGGGAAAATGTGTCAGAATTTCCTGGCCTGCTCTACTCTTCAGTATCAGATCAAAATGACAAAATGGATTTCCATCAGTGAAAGCCCTGGTCTGTCCTCCAACACCACGGCCCCACCCCCTGGATCTCCTGTAGCCTAGGCTGGCTTCAGATTCACTGTCTAGGGCAGAAGGACATTGAAGTTTTGACCCTCCTGCCTCTACCTCCTTTTGAGTCCTGGAATTATAGACAGCACCACCACTCGGGGCTCATACATGGCTGGGGATTGAACCCAAGGCTTTGGGCATGCTAGGCAAGTACTCTAGCGAGTGAGCCACGGTGAAACATAAGCACCTTGGGGTAGGCAGCCAGGCTGCAGCTCTGCCTCAGTCTCCCTGCCAAGCTCCCTTTCTCCTCCTGGATGATTTAAGGAAGAGCAAAACGCAGCGGTTGCCAGCTCTTGAGACCTTGCTGGCCATGGGCCTCCTCCTCCCTCGGATCCCAGGCCATTGTCCAAACCTGAATTCATAGTGACTTAGCAGGCCGAGCCAGTGGTAGAGGAATGTTTTCTAAAGAAAGCAAGCTTCCCTTGGAGCCCGTGAAGTTGCTTCTGGGAAAGTCGGCCTCCTTTTCTAGAACGGCATCCCTGAGAACTCAGGGTCACATTCGGAAGGTCACCAACAGGGTGACATCAGCTCTCCTCTCTTCTAGCTTTCAGGTTTGGGGGAGAGGGAGGACCATTCCCATTCTGTCCTTTCTGTCTCTCTGTGAAGCTGACTGGCATACATTCCTGGGACCTGTGTCATTACAAGTCCAGTAAATGATTCACACTGAGGTGACCTTTAGGGAACACAGAAGAAATCAGCTGGTTTCGGGGAGCCCAAAACTGTCCAGAAGCCAAACAGCCCAATGCCGCTGTGTCTTCCTTTCAAACCTAAGCTCCCCATTACCCTTGCTGGCCCTGGTCCTGATCATGTGACTCAGTGATTGCTCTAATCACCAGATTAATTACACATGTCCCTCTGCCATGCACACGGTGAAGGACTCAGTCTACTGCACCTGGAAGGGTGGGTCAAAGGACCAAGAACGATAAGAAAGAAACGTGCATATTTTGGCTCATAGATATTTTTTCTGTTTTGCATTTGTTTACACATGAATGCCACCAAAAAAATGTAAATTAGCCCAGGATGTAAGGTAACCTTGGCTACCAAGGAGGATAAAAATCTTGCCCAGTGCCTACTGCGTCACCAGTGCCAATGAGGATCTCAACCAGAGAGAAGTTTCTTGTTGCTTTTTAAATAGTGAGTTTTAAATGTTCTTCTTCCCTCTTCCCAGGAATCAAAATGACCCTCCTGCCCATCCAATCCTTTCGTCTCTCTCCATACTTTTCTACTACCATCAAGGAACTGCAGTGAAAGGGTCATTTTTAATCACTGTGACAAGAATCCCAAGAGTCATTCTCATGCACATGTATCATACTCTGAAAGAGCCGGTAAGACAACCCCCTAAAGCTGACAGGTTGAGGACTGGCCCCCATGCAAGGACTCTGCAGACCCCGCTCCCAAGCTCTGCTCTGTGTCGGCTGAGGGAGGAGTGGTTCTGTGTTAGCTGGAGTCCTTCTAATTAAAATGCAGAGCCAAGGGTTGGAGTCTGATGGTGGAGTTTCAGTTAGTGTTTGCGTCTCTGTCTCGGGATTGTTTGTAAGATACATTATAAAGTAGGAATAATAGTTGTTTTGTTTGGATGCCAGCATACTGCCTGCCCGCTGTGTTTCTAGAGGGTGCCATGGGAAGTGATTGGTGTGGGCCAGGAGGAAAAGTCAGAACGCCTGTGTGTGTGTGTGTGTGTGTGTGTGTGTGTGTGTGTGTGTGTGTGTGTGGTCTGCCTGTCTATGTGTGTGCACAGGCACACGCGCACGTGCATGTGTACATGCTCACACGCGCTTGAGAGTGAGAAATGGATAAGCTGACCCACATCTCAGCTCTAAGGACAGAAAACTGTAGGGCTTTTGTGCTGAGAGGCTTCTCCTCCTCGGGTTTTATTTCCATGCGCATTTAGTTATGAAAGCCAGTGGAAACCAGAACACCAGGAAAACAGCTGTTCTCATGGTGTCTCTAAGCTGCCACACAAGGGAGGCTTGGACTTTCCCCAACTTTCCTGTTCTCATACAATGCTGATCCTTCTCCGCCTCCGTTTCCACCTTGGGGGTTTGTGACTTGCTCTGAGTTTCACAAACCTACCTGATTCCAGCCCTTGGGGTCTGGTTACACGGCCTTAGTAAATGGGGAAGTTTCGTACCCTGGTTCACGTTGTTCACAATTAATTGTGTTTGCTTTTAAAAACAGAACTCTAAATTGTCAGTATTTTAAAATCCACAATCAAGGTTTCAGCTTGGCAAACCAATTAGGAACAACAGAGTTGAACTGCACCTGGGATTATCTGGCTTTCTTATCTTGCCACGTTGAGCAGTTGACTATGAAATGTTTTCCTGTGGCTCCTTGCCTGGCTGCATTTTGGACACTTAAAACAGGTGGTTGTACCTGGCCCAGGGCAAATCTGCAGTATAATCCTAGAGAAGGGTTTCTCCCTTCCTTCCTTCCTTCCTTCCTTCCTTCCTTCCTTCCTTCCTTCCTTCCTTCCTTCATTCTTCCCTCCCTCCCTCCCTTTCTTCCTTCCTTCCTTCCTAACATTTATTTGTTTGTTTTTTTGTATGTGTGCGAGCCTGCATGAGTATGTACCAGAAGAGGGCATCAGATTCTCTGGAACTGAAGTTACAGGCAGTTGTGAGGGGCCATGTGGGTGCTGGGAATCGAACCAGGGTCCTCTGCAAGAGCAGCCAGTATTTTTAACCACTGAGCCATCACTTCAACCCCAGTGCAGGGTTTCCTGAAGTACAGAATCACTCTTTATTTTAAATATACTTAGGTCAGGTGAGTATTTTGTACCTGTGCAGCACACATCTGAATATATGTTTTATTAATCTGTATTTTACAGACATGTATAGGTAATAATATATTGGCCACTTATACATATATTTAATAATGCATATATTCATTTATTTAACATGTGAATTAGTTATTGATAATCATAAATCAATGAGCAGCTGAAAGCTTGCTGTCCCCTATTGAGCAAGGCATTTTAAGCCCTTTGGGAAAAGAGCTTCCATAAACCCAAAGAGAAATTGGTGAAAGACAGAGGTCTCTCTGACCCCATCACTCCTCAGATTCCACAACGTGCAAGGTAACCAAACTCCCATTTAGTGATGCCACCAAGGTAAAATATGACCTCTCATAGGTCTCCTGCCACACAGCCTTACAGCTCGGTCCTGTATCTACCATGTCAACACCTCTCATAGCCGTGTGTGATCTCTCCTCCATTAAACAGTCTCATTCCCAGTTGCCACCAAGCTAAAACCTGTCCAGCTCAAGTTTTATTCAGTTGAATTAACATTGGGATGAGAAAATGTCTCTATAAGGCTGAGTTGCTCAGGGGCCCATGAAATAGGCTAGTTGAGATTTGTTAGCTGGTTTGGAGTTTTTGTTTTGTTATCTCTGGGTGGTAGGTGGGATACGGCAGCTACCGCTTGCCCTGTTAGTTCATTCAGTTTTCATTTTTGAATTCTTAAACATTTTCTTTCTCTTTACTTATTTATGATTTGGGGGAAGGAGCTGTGGGTCCCAGGAACCCAGCGCAGGTTGTCAGGCCTGGTGTGTGCATTTTTACTTCCAGCACTGGGCTCTCCAGCCTGGGATGTTTTCACAGTAGGTGGTAGGTAGAACTTGGTCACCCACCCTTCCCCAGCCAGTTCATTCTCAAGTTATACACTCAAGTTAGATTTCAGAAGATCCATTGAATCTTTGAAATTTAGTCTGAAAACCTCATGATAGGATCTATTACCCTCCACGTTAAAGTTGATTAGTTATGTGGGCATGTGACTAGTCTCTATACTATATGGTTTGGATTTCTAGTCAGTGACAAAAACCTCACAAACTTCAAATTCAAAAGTCAAAGTGTGCAAGGCATGGTGGCATATGCCTATTGTCTCAGTACTCTGAGAGGTTAAAGCAGGGGAAATGGGAGCTTGGGGGTCGTCTGGGCTATGCAGCAACACCTTGTCTCAAAAATAAAAATAAAATAATCCAGCCAAGGCAGTGTGACCCATACCTGTAATACACACATTTGGGAAGCAGAATCAGGAGAATCAGGAAGAGGTCGAGACTAGCCTCAGCTACATCGTAAGTTTAAGGCCAGCTTGGACTACAGAAGACCCTGTCTTTAAAACAACAACACACACACAAATTGTGCACACCATTTGACACACTTACACTAAAAGGTCAGCGTTTCCTTAGATGTTGAATACCGGTTACCCCATTTCTCTTTCTGCTGAGGTTAACTGAACCATGACGTTGAAGGCCATGAGTGAAAGCTAATTCATCCGCAGTGATAGCAATTAGTTGAGTTGCTGGCATATGAGTGAGAACCGCTCCAGGGTTTCCCCCAGTACATAGATCTGCCAGTGGAAACTATTCCCCCATCAGAAACAAGCTGCTTACCTTCTCTCTGTATCTCCCACTCGGTCTTCGTGGCCTGAACCTCCCTGATCCCAGCAGCGCGGTACATGGTCAAGAGGTGCGTTCAGATGCAACTGCTGTGGGCTCTGGTGTCTTACCAGATACCTGTACCATCTCAATCAGGTATGTGCCTTTCCTGCACCCCAGGAGTCTGAGGGTGGCTTCTGTCACGTAGATCAGCAAATTCTTCAGGGCAGGTTGTGTGATTCCTTCAGTTTTCTAACCATGTAATGTGTCAAGTCCACTGAACTCCGCCATCAAATCCAGGAAAGCAGCCACAGACAAAATGCAAAGAAACACACATGTCTGTGTTTCAATAAAACTTTACCGGTGGACTCTGAAATTTGAATTTCCTGTGATTTCACATGCCAAGAAATAATTTTCTTTTTGCCTTTCCACTCATTTTAATGTTATGGACGTCATCGTAGCTCCAGCCTGAGGAAGGCGGGGCAGGAGTCCGTCAGACTGATCACATCCCCTCAGCAGGGCTGTGGTTTGTGGACTCCTTACCTTGAAACTGTAGGCTGTTACAACGGCTCTTCAAATTCTGCAGAAATGAGTTTCTTTCTTTTTTTTCCTAAAATAAAAAGTGGCACGCGTCTTTTCACGTTTGAGTATGATGACTAGCTGTCAATGAGAGCAAATGTCAATGCCGTAACAGGCTTCCAGAACTGGCATAGTTCTGCAGTAGGAGAATTTTCTCCCATTTTTTTTTCTACATTTCCTCAGCCCTTTCTTTTCAAGCTACAAATCTTCCCTTTAAAAAAATCTTTCAAATTGACAGAGGCTTAAATCAGTGTTCTCTTTTTTCTGTAGCTCATTTAGGAAAGTTTAATAGCCCTTAGTCACATTTATACAAAGCAGTGTTTTTGTAAGGCAGCGGGCTGTTTTATAATTGAAGTGTGTGCAGAGATCTCACTTAGAAAAGTCATTCTTGCTATGGCCCACCTTTCTAGCAGATGCTCTAGAGAAGTGAAGGGGCTAATTAGGCTGTCCATGTTTGATGTCTCGTAAGTGGTATTTAAAACACCTTTCATTATTCAGGGAAAGTGTAACCTTCTTTTTTTTTTTTTTCTTAAGCCCTGCTCTATTTTTAAGTCTGAATCTGGGTGTACATTTTAGAACATATTTCGATCTAAATACCACAAGCCACCATATATAAAACACAAGAAGGCAATGTGGCATTTTTCAGAAAGGTGGGGCATATGTCAAGCCAAGCCACGCCTTGTGGATACACTCCTAGACTAAAATGCCATGCTTCTCTTCTCAGAGCTGTGTGTATGAGTCTTCATACCAGCTGCTGGTATGAAGATTATGAGATGTATTGGTACATTGATACACGGTGAGATATAGTTAGACCGGACAGGCAAAGGCCATGAGGCCACTAACACTAACACATTAGCTAGATGGTCCTCCAAGGCTCCAAGCTGGAGCCAGTGCGTCTCTGTTTCACAGGATGCAGGTTCTTTCTGCGTCCTTCCCTATTTTACTCTTGGTATCAAACTACCCCCATGGGAACCTATCATATATCAAACACCACCATATCAGGAGGGGGAAATATCAGTGAGGAAGAGGCAGGATGAGGTCCATTCATGCCACCCACCCTGTCTTCCGTGCAGATAGCTCCACTATCTGTGACTTGGGTTTGGAGTCTACCACTGGGGGGTGGGATGTCAGGACTCTGCCAGTCAGCACATTTGGAAACCACTGCATTTGTTTTTTTCTACTCTGTTACCCTCAGGGACATAGCCTCTGCCTTCTAAAATCTCACCTGCTAATATTAACTAAGACCTTTTCTCTTGGGAATTGAGAGTCGTGCCGAGGTCGGGTGCAGTGTTCATATCAACCACACTGTAATTACCTTAATACCGGTGGTGAGTCCTGATAACAGATATGCAGGGGGAATGACAGTCCTGGGCAATAAGAGGAAGCTGGCCTTGCTCCAGCTCTGAGAGTGAGTCAGTGGGACAAGCAGGGGTGGCTCTCTGAGATTCTGACCTTGGGGGCTGTGCTGCAAGCCATGGCCTCCACTGGCTGTCATGGCCTCACTGCACTAGGGTGACTCCTACAGCATTGGGCAATGCCATCTGGCATGAGAGCTGCTGACAGACGAGGCTGGGAAAGAAGAGCTGAAGGGGAGGAATGGAAAGGAAAGACTGAGGAGAACGTTGACAAGCAGAGAAGGGTCTGGAAGGGTCTGGTCCAAATGACATCCTGGAAGTGAAGTGAATGCCTGAGAAGGAAGACAGCCAGTAGAGATCCACCATCATGGGGTTGGGGGAGACAGAGTTACAGAGGGAGAAAAACAGAATGCTGACACGCTGAATGAGCAACACAGATACTGCTGTGGTTAACGGAGAAAGGCTCGGCTTTCTTATAAATGGTGTCAAAGAAACAAAGAAAAAGGAAGCTCTACTCGAAAAGACAACTCCACCATAAATTAAAAAAATAATAATTCAGAGAAACCCTGTCTCAAAAAATCAAAATAATGATGATGATGATGATGATGATGTTGACGGTGATGATTCAAAATGGGGCAGAGACCCAATATAAATCCAAACTGTAAAACTTCCAGGAGAGAAGCTCTTGGTAACCATGAGTTTGAGCAGAGGAGTTCTTAAATATGACACAGAAATCATGAACTATCAAAAAGAAGAATAGGGCACAGAGGAGGCTGAGCTGGTGGGGGCTTAACCTAGGGTGCATGTCCCATCCCCAGCAACGCATACACCAGGTGTGGTGTGCACCTGTAATCCCAGCGCTGGGGAGATGGATGCAGGAGTTCAAGGCTAGCCTCAGCTGCATAGAAAGTTCAAGGCTAGTCTGAGTTATACAAGAGTGAGGAGAGAGGAAGGAGGAGGCAGGGAAGGGGGGAGGATAATGATGGTAAAATGGTAGTCAGCACAGCTGTCCATCTCATCTGTCAAGAAACAAAGGAAAATGAGTTCAAAGTAAAGAACTGAATTTAGATTAGACTGGCAAACAGCCTCCCTTTGGACTAGGTTACTGCGGGGGTGGGGAAATTTTGGGCATCTCTATGCCTGGAAATCAGATACAAAAAGGCCAAGGCCTGTTCTCTTTACTCTGTTTGATGGTAAGGAGGCTAGGGAAGCTGGAAGACGATCAAATGTGCTTGTCCAGCTCAGAACCCAGATTACCTCCCTGCAGCTCGGAGGCGGCTGTGGTTCATCACTGCTTCCTAAAAGCCTCATCCATCTTCACTAAGACCCAGGACAGAGGCAGGGAGAGGTTTCTGCCTTTTGCAGTGGACACCCAGCCTAAGGCTGCATGGTACTTCATTTGCAGAGTGGGGTAATAAAACACCAAACCTCATCATTTCTCATTTCCTTCTCTCTGCTTCATAAATACCGAATGTGTGTACAGCTGAAAAACAATTGTGTCACCTCACACATTCATGAACACGAAAGTCATTTGGTTATGCCGTGTGCAACCATGGGAGCCTGGGCTTCAGAGGCAAAGGGAACCAAGGGGATTTGAGATGTGTGTGCAGAAGTAAGAAACACACGCATGCGACATGTACACAACAGTAAGAAATTCAGAAAATGCCGACACTCCGAAAAGGACAACCTTGATAAGTGAGTGCCCATGGATATCCCCAGCTGATAGAACAGCGACAATGCGGGCTGTAGATTGTTGGCACCAGCTGCCAATCAACCCTGCAGGGTGAAGTAGTATCTCTAGCTTCCAGGCCAGGAGACGGAAGCTTGGAGAAGGCTCATGGTCAGTGTCAGAACCAGGAGCCCATCTCAGTCCATTTGCCCCCCACAACCAAGCCATACCAGCCCCAAACTCAGAACTACCACTAGGCCTGTCCCCAGCAGTTTTCAGATCCAGACAGGCTAGCTTACTTGACAGGGAAGACTGGCTAATGGCAGACTTGGAAAGGACGAGAAGTACGTAGGGCCGCCAGAAGCCACGACTATGAATCCTGTGGTTTCAGGCCAGAGAAGCCTTGGCTGGGTGGTCTGACTCCCCTGCTCCCCTTAGGCAAGTCAGTGGTCCAGGCTTCTGGTCCTGGAGGCTGGTTTGTGTCAGTCTGGCTGGCAAGGAAGTCTGGAGCCTCCCTGCTCCCTACCAACACCTTTGAGGGACCCAACTGGAATCTTCCCAAGGGACCCTGATACTAACCAACCAGAAAGCCTACCTTCTGTGTTTCTCACTGTCCTCACCCAGTTCCTCATGATAACGCCTTCCCACCTATGTGCAGGGCATCTGCCCCAGCTCTGATGGTGGCTTTAGATCAGTGCCCTTCGGAGTACAAAATTCACTGGCGGGCCTACAGCACGCTAACAGACGCTTCTGCATTGCTCTGAAGACAAGGCAGAATTTTTCTTTTCCAAATCTTAGAGGGAAATCACAAAATCCTATAGGTTTTTATTCTTGCACACGAGGAAGGGCTTTTTACCAATCAGGAAAGTAGAACCTCTGGTTCTTAAAATGTGTTTTTTATGAACCCCAATAATTGTGTTACTCGGTTTCCTTAGACTTCATATTCTCGCGTCTATTATGACAGCTAACTATCTGGATGGTACCTGGTAACTGTCTGAGTTTGGGACCTGTCTTAGTTTAGGTTTTTATTGCTGTGAAGAGACACCGTGACCACAGCAACTCTTATAAAGAAAACGTTAAATTGAGGCTGGCTTACAGTTTCAGAGGCTCAGTCCCTAGTCATCATGACAGGGAGCGTGGCTGGAGCTGAGAGTGCCACATCTTGCAGGCAACAGGAAGTCAACTGTCAGACTGGGAGATATCCTGAGCCTTAGGAAACCTCAGAGCCCACCCCCACAGTGACATACTTCCTCTGACAAGGCCACACCCACTCCAACAAAGTCACACCTCCTGATAGTGCCACTCCCTTTGGGATTATGGGTGCCAATTACATTCAAACTACCACTAGACCCTAGGTTGGCAGAGAGTTGGGATGGTGCAAATTGGGAAAAATACAGCCAGTATTGTTCAGTCACGGTTGTTCATTTAACGAACACACATTGTCGAGTACTTGGTTCTAACTTACTTTTTTATTTTTCTTTGTTGTCATTTTAAGCATTGGCTTCCTTTTCCATTTTTTTTTTCCTTCCAGCAGAAGTGGGAATAGGTATAGAACGTGAGCTATGGGGTGATACCAAGAC